GATGGAAACTTCGCATCAAGTTTTCTTGTATGACTAGCTTGGTGTCATCAGATTCTTAAATTGATGTGGGCAATAATGGGCGCCTGTGAAATTCATTTAAATTATAATTGCTGGGCTTTACATCTCAAAACTATAAGATTGTGAAAGGTGTGATAGTGGGGAACTTCAAAATAAATTAAATCAACTGGGTTTCTTAAACATGCCCCTAAATATGAGAACACAGATGTGTATTTGAGTGTAAAATTACTCATGTCAAAATGTGGCTGTAATGGACAGGCATTCAATAGGTGTGCTCAAGCTTGCGACACTTTGGGCACAGGCTCGTCCGCCGCGTCGGTGTAAGGGTTACGGTGCTCGGCTGCTGACCCAAAGATCGCAGGTTCAATCCCCCGCTGCAGCAGTCGCATTTTAATGGAGGCAAAAATGGTAGAGGTCCACGTTCTATTTCATGTCTGTGCACGTTAAAGAACACCAGATGGTCGAAATTTCCGGCTTCACTACGGCGTCTCTCATAATCCAGGGTTCATACAGGTCCTTGAAATCCTTGAAAACCCTTTAATTTAAAAAAATGCATTTTCAAGGCCCTTGAAAGTCTTGGAATTTTCTGCCATTCTTCAAAATCCTTGAATTTCCTGAGCAGTGCCCTCTCATATCGACATCGCGACCTCCTACTATGTGGTACATGGTTGTGTCAACCTGTCAAACTCCCTATTTCTGAAGCAGTAATGTGGCGTGGGTGCACATGATCCCATTTTGCAAAAGTGTATGTGAAAAAAGGTTATTTTGTGGCAAAGGTGAAGCAGTGAATGTGATAGCAAGAAATTAGAATGTCACAAGAAGGGCAAGCAACCCTATACTTGCAACGCACAGCTCAAGCGCGGAGGACGCACAAAAAGAAAGTGCACAGGATGAGTGCAGGTGAACAACTGTCACAGCTCGACACTGGAAGCGTGCTGCTTAAACAAACCAAAAATGGTGCTAAAAAAGAACACAGATGGATCCACAGGATGAGTGTAAAATAACCACTGTCACAGTTGTTACTTCTTGGTTGTTGAGCAACGTGCTGCGAGTGTCAACTTTGCATAAGCCGACACTCTTGGTGGGGTGGTGCCATCGATTTTCAAGGCTATTGCAAGCACCTTGTGGGTTTAAGAATATATTTTAAGTCACTTCCCAAGTATACCAAAATGCTCATTCTCCTAATCGAGGCCCATGGCAAGCGCATCCAGCACTGACGTAGCTTTATAAGATGGGCAACGAAATTTCTAGTGACGTCACACCAGATCTGTAGTCAGCTGAGTGATTTACGGACTTCTGCCCCGTACATACCGACAAAGCATCGCGGCTGCTGCAGGTAGTGGCGAGTTTGTTTTGCAGGTGCTTGTTTGACACATGTGTGCGAGAGCTGATAATACTCAGCATGAAGCGTGCAAAGTTTTCTGATCACGTACCTGCACAACTCGGTCCCCACAAACAGGAACTTAAAATTGTCTATATCAAAACGGCGACAAATTATATAGCGAGAATAAATGAATCTTGCTACGTGTATCGTACTTATTGGAGCTATAATTAAAGTTTGCAGCAAAGAACACACAAGCCACAAATATTGTGGAATGACCCCTTTAAGGCCTGACTACACATGCGTGTGGAAGCCCATCAGTGCGTAACTTTTAAGGACATGACATCGTGCCCTCTTTCTATGGAGAGGGTGCGAGAAGTTATTAGAACTACAGTTTCTTTATAATTGCGATATCCATGCATTATAAATGCAATGAAAGTGGTCATTTTTGAAAATTCTAGAGTGAAGAATTCCAACTTAGCCTGCCGCTTTTAATCCTTGAAAAACTTGCATTAGATCCTGAAAAGTCCTTGAATATCCTTGATTTTTTTTTTCTTCGGAAACCTGTACTAACTCTGGAAACGAAAAAACAAAACAAAAAGCTTTTCCGCACGTTGGGGATTGTGCAGTCTGAGCCCTCTCGCCCTTTTCTCGAGCGTTTCGGGTTTTGGTGGAGGCGTAGTGCCGTGCAGTGGTCGCCGGGCGCTGCGAGTGCCTAAAGCCCCTAGAACTGTGCCAAAGCGCGCTTTCCAATTAGCGCGCGGAGCTGCGCTGCCGTGGAGATCGCGGGAGGGAGGGAGGGATCGGGGGATTGCCGAGGTGCGCCTCGGCGGATTGTCATTGGAAATGACGAACGCCGTGCGCACCTCGCACGGCGTTCGTCATTTCCGAAGGTGGGTAACAATACTGTTCGATATAAACGTGCGAATTTCTATATTTTTACAAAGAAATTTCAAGGGGATAACTTGCGAGTTCGATATACCAAAAAATTCGATATATGTGGGTTCGATATAACCGTGTTCGACCGTATAGCGATTTTTGCTGTAGGTATCGTAATAAATAGCTGCTCATGTTTAGCATGTGTTGTATGCCTTTTGTGTACCATCTAAGTGCTGTTAACATATTTATATTGCAGGGAGTCATTTCACCAAATCTTTCATATCTATGTCATTCGTTCTTATTAAAGTATGTCATTCTAAACATCTATGGTTTCTATCTCTGCAGTGCTCTGCCACAGCACTTATGCTGGTGCACTATTCAGCAGTAACGTGAAAGATGTATTTGATGTCATGTGTTAGGCACAAGTTAATGTGCGTTTGAGATTTTGATCTGCTGATGGCCGTAATAGTGTATGGACACAGTTTATGCTTCGTTGGATATCAGTGTGGTGCAGTGACATCGTTTGGATATCGGGAAAATCGTACAGACAAATGCATCTATAAAAGCAGATCAGTTTAGCAGTATCGTTGGCAAGTCTAAAAGGAATGTATTGCGTCGTTTGTACTAGGAGACAAAAGAACATTATGACAGCAGATTTGGTTGTCTTCAAATTTCCTGTTGATGAAGCTTGCCGATTCATTCAGATTTACTAGTGATGCAGTACCAAATGAGATTGTTGTAAATACATACTTCATGAAGCAGATAAATAGTCTGTGCTTGGTCTCAGTGCGACTCCTTGTATTTCATTTTGGCTGGATGGTGCCAAAGGAAAAATCAAGAAAGTGTCACTTCACTTTATTGAAACATATCTTGGGTGAAACATGCCACTTGGATGTTTAAAAAAAAATCAAGTTCAGTTGGAGTACTTTTTTGAGAACGTTCCAGTTTTGCAGAGTTGTACTTTTCAGCTGCTTGAAAAAGAAATGCTTACAGGTGACCCGCAAGAGATCAAGGTGACTTATTTAGGCAAACTCAATTTGTTTCTAGTGAAATATAATCACAAAGTGAAGTGTATCCTCCCAGTAGGCCTGTAGGGTGTTCTGGGCAGCTGTTACAAAAGATCGAAAGGCAAAAAATGCATATATACTGTGAAAAATTGGTACGTATAGCTAAAAAATGTAATATGCAATAAAACATTATTTAAAAAATACTTTGACCTTAGAACTTTTGTAATTGATCAAAATTTCGTAGCTTTTATCCGTGGACAGCCTGTTGCCACATGTCACAATATATGGACTAGTTCATAAGAAAGTTAACCCATATAGTTCTGCTTTTTTTTTTTACGTTGAATGAAGTATCATCCAAGAATAATTCAACCAACCAATACTAAAGTTCAGTGCTGTGTGTCCTCACATCGTCCCTTCTTTTGCGATGTTTTATTCTTCGTCTACAATACTAAAGCTCTCGCCCTGCACATAATTCAGATTTTTTTTTAGTGGCACGAGCAGTGAGTAATGCTAAAATTTATCAGTACGTCCCTGCACTTGTGTGTGTGTGTGTTTTTCCCCCTTTCAGAATGGTAGGCTAGGGAGTTGCTGTCCACATTATTCAGCATGACGCGTTCAAAGCTTTGTGATTACGTGACTAAGTCAGCTACACTGCTACATACCGGCCCAACTCGGTCGCCACTAACAGGTACTGAAAATTGTTCATATCAAAAAGGCGACAAATTATATAGCGAGAATAAATTAATCTCGGAGTGTGTATCGTGCTTATTGGAGCTATAATTAAAGCTTGCAACAAAAAGCGTGCTAGCCGCAAATATTGTGGCCCGACCCCTTTAATGCCTCGCTACACATGCCTGTTAAGGCCCATCAGCGCGTAACTTCTCGACAGAGCATTGTGCCCTCACCCTATGGAGAGTGTGGGAGAGGGGAAGAAGTTATTAGGACTACGCTTCTTTTTTTTCATAATTGCAATATCTATATATTTATTGTAAGTGTAATAAAATTGGTCATTTTTGAAAATTTCTGAGTGAAAAATTTCAACTTGGCATGCTGCTTTGAGTCCTTGAAAAACTTGTAACACGTCCTGGGAAGTTCCTAAATATCCTTGAATTTTCACATTGGAAACCTGTTCGAACCCTGTAATCGTATCGTCGTTTTGAGGCATTAAACCCCAAGTATAATATTATTATTTGGGCATAGGCAAAAAAAAAGTGTTTATTTTGAGCAAGCATGTTAGAAGGTTGTAATTTATAAACGTAGGTTACAATGGAGTGAGCATGTTATTAGGTTGTAGTTTACAAACATTGGCTACAAGAAAAAAAAAATGCTCTTTAAATGTGACTGTTGGTGCTGATTATTCTTGGCCAACTCCTCTACGTTAAGTTGTTCACTGACTGGTGCACAAAGACGTGAAGGTGTTCATCGGTTAATTGCAAGGAGTTCATCAGTTAGGTAGGGGTTATGGCCTTGTTGCCAGGGCCTCATAATATGGGCCACAGGTTGCCTAACCCTGCTACTTTTGTAGCTGTCTGAGCACAAGATAGGTCTTGCATTGTTGCCAGGTGACAGCCAACAGGCTTTCCAAGCAAGTTACTGAACTTCTCTTAACACATCTTTCAGCTTCATGTACGAGTAGATGTCTTTGAAACATTCTTATGCCTTTTTTGCAGTTTTTCATTTTTAATTGTCTTATTGTGTTTTTTTTTTTGAAGTTTATGTGGACGTTCTACTATCTGAAAGCTCTAAACTCGTGCTGTTTTAATTCTTTTTTGTAGCTTGCACAGTTCAAGGAAACTGAAAAGCAGCGAGTCTTCACTGACAAGGCCGCAAGATATAGAAGCGGCGCAAGCTATATTAAAGGAGTTAGGTGAAGCTGATGCGGCAGAAACCTTTTCTGAAGTCCGGCTGTCAAAAGGAACACAAGAACTCAAGGAGGAGCTCAATGATATGATTGACAATATGAATGCTGATGATGCCAAGGCCAACAACACAGGTTTGTAGTTTTTGGTTTATTACTGTGCCATTAGGTGCTCTTAGAAAAGGGACAAAAAATGCAGAAAATACATTTACGAAAGTTTGCAATGCAAAAGGATAAAAAAAAAGTTTGCTTAAAATCGTAGATCTGTCAATATACTGTGATGTGGTCGTGACACCAAAGAAGCTATTTATTAGCCGAGCTTTTGTCTGGCAAAACGGTGCACTTGTACAATGATAGCAGCAAGCACTGTCGTTGGTGATAAAAAAATCTGAGCTACACATTTTTCATACGTTTTATGCATGAGTCTCGGGTAGAGCTGTGTTCCGCCACTTGTTTTTTGCTTGTGATGTTCATGCTGCCGCCAAGGACCTGAGAGTGAGCTGTCGCTGATTGGTGGTAGCTTGGCCAGCAGCGTGCTGTCTTTCTGGTTCTTTCTCTTCAATGCTATTTTGATGTCGTGAAGTTTTCACAACTCTCTACTTGAATTGGAGGAACAAAATGAGCTTCAACCATATAGGGGGAAAAAAAACGTAGGAGAGAGCGTGCCTAGCATTCATAAGGCAGCCTCCTCTGAATTCACTACCTTTTCGGGCTTGTGTCAAAATTCCAGTCGTGCTTTTGTTTGTCCCCCACAGTTTTTTTTCTTATTTATGTCATATATGGGGAAAAAAAACGAAACTTCACGAGCGTGTGTGCCTCCCATTCACTAATAAACCTCCTCCAACACCACTTCCCCCTCGTGCTCCATGCATATGTGACCCTAGTGGACTGTCAGTTTTGGCCACAGCAGCTGATTGGCTGGAATTTGGCGACCAGCTTGCCCCCCTTTGCGGTTTTTCTTCTGCAACGTCAGTTTGATGTCGCGAAGCTTTCACAATTCTTGACACTAATGTAAAGGGCAGAATGTGCTTCAATGCAATGAACACAGCACCCAGACATTCTCTTTTGGGCACACATCTCTGAGGTCGTGCACAGTCTGATCGTGCAAGCCAACGAATAAAGTTTAATGTGGCTTTCATCTACGCACCTGTGAAGGTTGGTACGCATTCCCTGCATCATTATCAAGCATCTGGCACACACTCACATGCAAGTTGACACTTGACAAATTCCTGTTTTTGTAAATTTCATCCACTTTCTTATGCTGAAAATGTACTGGCCAAGAGCAAACATCACCGCTTACCGCTTCTTTGGATGACCAAATGCGCTCTGCCGAAATGCTCTCTAGACATTGTTTTGTTATGTCTTATTATAGTGGCCGATAAAACACTGGGACTTCGTTAATGGGAACTGAGTTGGGGTACAAGAATACGTTTGGCTACATGGAAGTAGGAGTACAGAGTATGTTTTGTTTCCAAAGTGGGCATGCTTCTTTTCTGCTCTCATGGATTCCACCACAGTAGTGACATCCTGGTACAGCATATTTGTGGCATTCATTTTGCAAATTTTGAATCGCTGGCATTAGTGTGACGAACAAATTTATTTACTACGTGCACAGAATTGCTCTTCTCCATGGCTGATGTGCTGACATTAGAACTGGTTAACTTCAGACATCATGATTTGTTATGTGTTATCATAGCAGCTGATAAAAGATTGGGCTTTTGTTAACAGGGATAAGCATTGGGGTGCAGGAATATGTGTGGATACATGGAGGTAGGAATGCAGAGTGGAGAGCTCGAAAGTGGCAGAGTGGCCCACAAGCAGAGTGGCCCACAAGCCTGAGGGTGGTGGTGGTTGTGGTTAGAAGAAGGCGCCTAATTTCTGCAGCCCGGTAGAGAGCACGGCACAGCGACTAAAGCCTGAGGGCAGACGATACTTGATACTTCAGAAGCTCGTAGTTCATAAAGGATGATGATTGATTGATTTGTGGGGTTTAACGTCTCAAAACCAGCATATGATTATGAGAGACGCCGTAGTGGAGGGCTCTGGAAATTTCGACCACCTGGGGTTCTTTAACATGCACCCAAATCTGAGCACACGGGCCTACAACATTTCTGCCTCCATCGGAAATGCGCCGTCGCAGCCACGATTCGATTTCACGACCTGTGGGTAAGCAGCAGAGTACCTTAGCCACTAGACCACCACGGCAGGGCGGAGTTCATAAAGGAGTAGGAGAAAATAAGCAGAGGAGGTGGCAGAGAATTCGGGAGGAACGTGTGGCTTGAATAAAATGTTACACGAGATGGTTGCACCATCTCTGGATCCTTCTTGTAATAGACATCTCCTTTAGATGGACACATCGAAAATAGCTCCCCGGAAGTTGTTGTATCTTTCTCAGCTCCATGAGTCTCAAGAGTATTGCCTGACTGCAACACTGTGGTGTCCTCCAGCCTTAAAGGGCAATGACCCAACTGGCTGGACAGCATATTTGTGGGGTCTTTAATCTGCTACATTGTGCATAGATAAATAAGAGGGATAAGTAATAAATATCGATGGATTAATGAACTTTTTTCTTGCATTTTTACTCCAGTAAGTCGATAAATGAAGAGAGAAGTAAAGGCAAAGAGAAACTTAAAATAACCGATGGCTGAGCTATACTCGGCAACAACTTTTCTTGGCACTGAAGGGAAAGTTACAGAGCCAATGAAGGTAGTTCCAAAGTAGCGCCCATATTTTCAATGTGAAATATAAATGTTCCTCCTTTATTTCCTACGTGGAGCTATTTGATACAGGACGCAGCTCACACCAGTAAGATATTTGTATTTCTCCAATTTATCTGTTGTAAGTTCGCGTTTTTGAACGCATGAGGTAGTCTTGCCTTTTTACGTGCACCTCAAACGCTAAGCGGCGTCTGCATCTCCATTAAATGCTTATGGTGCGCCATCGTCACTTTCCACAGCGTTACGAGACGCGTGTCAAAACTGACTATTTCGCATAGTGCTACATGCGCAGAAGCTTTTCCTCCTAAGCTTTCCCTTCAGTGCCAAAAAAAAGTTGTCGCTGAGTATAGTATTCATGTTAAAAGGACTGGACATGAAAACACAGATACAAGAGTGAAGTCAAGAGAGTGACCAGTTATCTGTCACGTAGACTGTGATGCACAACTGACTGATAGTTATCACCTCTTGCCTGGAAAGCGCAGATAAGTGTTTTAGTGCGGCGCACCCTGGGGATCCAGGCTGCCGTATGCTGTGGTAGATTGCCACAATGCCGGCAAAACCATGTATGGCATAGCCATCTGTAGCATACTGAGCACGCACTCATGCCAGAGGAGTGTTCTTCCGCTTGTTCTTTGAGCACCTTGATGATATATTAAGCACGGAACAGTTGAGCTCGGGCTGTCGCATTCTATTGTGTGCTGTTGTCGATTAGCATAACACAGACAAAATTGCATATAAAAACAAAATGAAAGAGTAAGCAAGCAAAAAATAGAGAAAGAAAAAATAGGGGAAAAATGAAATAAAAAGAAATAGAGAGGAATAAATCAATAGAAATAGAGAAAGACAAAAAGAAATGGAAACAGAGAAAGAGAGCAGGAAAGAAAGGGAAAACTGAAGAGGAACAAAGGAGACTACCCAGCTCCGCATTTCCTCCAGGTTTGCCATCACTAGTGCAATGCGGAGGTTTTTCCTGCATTCTTTTTCGGTGCTGTACCATTTTTTTTTGTATCAGTTTCAGATACCGCAGCGGTGGCTACATGGTTAGAGCTTCCGCTTCCAATGCGGGAGTTGCCGGGTTCAATTCACAGTGCCGACTGGGAACCCACCGGTTTTCGCCAATGGGTAGAGGAATACACCAACCTGGCGCTCGGTTGTTTCTGGGTACTCATCTCGAAAGGTAGTCTCATAAGGTTCTGCGAAGGCCCCTGGGCGCAACTTAACCCACCACAGCCTTTGTGAAACAGTTGAGCATCCTCCGCTGCTGTGGGAGGCAGATAATTCCTGCCGTCAGGTACCTGTACTGGTTAAATAGATACAAGCGGGCTTCCGGCCTGGTGCTCGGTAGAACAAAGCTATAGTCCCACCCCGTGGGAAATTAGCGGCATGGCACCAGCCCTAAAATTAAGGTCATCCTTTTTTCTTTCTCTTTTTTTTTTTGCAGTATCTTCATTAATTTCTTGTGTCCGTGTGTACATTATCTCTTGGTTTGTTTGTTTTTCGCTGCAGCTCGTGACATCAAAATAGCGATTCACATGGCGTAGTTAGAAAGTATATACTCTGGATTGGTCTATATGGGAGAAATGTCAGCTGTGAATTGTCACCTACCCTGCTTTGCCGTGCATTCATCCATGCATTCTTCCTCATCTCTCATCATTGTCGTGCGTGATGAATGGATTTCACTTGATTTTGTGTGTCTCCGATTGTGCTAGCGGAAGTAAGAGTGTGGCTGACAAGCTCTAAATTCTAATAGGCTCAGCTCTTAGTGCTCACATTGTACACCTTCCCATTTTTTTAACCTGAATGTCTGAGCATCGACCACACAGTCTGTCGGCACCTGTTCCGGATGTCCTGGTGTCTGGTTCCCGGAACAGCCTGACATAAGACAGTTGCACAGGACTGTTCATCGCAGGCATGCACATATTCTTGTTCTTTTTCCCACTGTGCTCTGTCAAATTCCGCTTATCAACTGGGTGGTTGACGCTCACACGATCAGGTTTAAGAAATGAATGGCTGGGTACATGTGCTTTATGAAGAATTAAGTGCTGAGGGGAGGTATTGCCTGTAATAATTGTAGTGAAGGTGAGAACGAAACCAATGTAAAAGGCGCCAGATGATTTGATTCTTCCAAGGGACAAACACTTTACAGCGAAGATGATGCAACTCTCCTGAAAAAAAGGCCAGTCTGCTTCCATGGTTTTTGTATATAATTTTTATTGCGATAACAATTATGTGGATGCTCTATACGGGTTTTCATCGTCTCTGCCATGTTCGTAGTAAGTCTAAATCGATAACTTCTGTACGTGCATCATATGCTGTACCTGCAAGTAAAAGCTTGTGAGTGTTAGGGAGAAACACTGCTGAAGCATAGATTAAACAAGCTGCTGGTCTCCACTGCACGGAGGGCGCGTGCAATAACAT